GTTATACTAGATTAGTGAGCCCGCACCAAAGACTCGAGTAGCAGTTCGTCGTCAAATAATTAGACTTACAAATACAATTTTAGTTAATAAGTAGTTCTTGCAGTTAATAAATGACGAGCAGATATATCAAGTTGAATAAAGAGTTTTAGTAACTTACCCAAGGAGCTAGCCGTTTCCCATCTGATCCGAGTGAACTGCCTTGATTTAGGTTTGCTTGCCATGCCTGGAATTAAATTAATAGTATTTAAGCTTTAATTCTTCAAACTGGAAATGTTTTTTCATATACCACGGTCTCACAAAAAACCACCAAAGCGTTGTATTTCGTTGTGTGAGTGAGATTTCTTCCCTCCTTCCGTGCCCAATTTCCCCGATCTGCGATTCCCAAACAATCCTCAAATTCCTATCCCCGAAAAAACCCCGCAACGGGCTTTTTTTTTGGAATAGGAGGTTAACGAGCAGACCGATCACCTGATGGTGAGCGACCAGCGTCGCCCATGAACCGCAACACCAGAGGAGTCACAAGTGCGTTGCCAACCTTTAAGTGTGGGAGAGCCATGCTTCGGCACGAATGGGCCGGCTCGACTGGAATGATACCACGGCCTCACAGAAAACAGACGTGAAGCAACGCTTGCGTTGTGTTTCGTCGTGTGAGTGAGATTGATTTCAGTCTGTCAGTCAGTCAGTCGTGATTTCAAAAAATGTGATCTTCATTGTGATATTCATTTAAAGACCCATCAAGAAGCCAAGTTACAAGGAAGGTAAACAGTACAGTGTCTACTACTAGAAAAAATCTATATCTAGATCTATACCTGGTAAGCATCATTGAAGGCGTGTGCGAGAGACAGTGCAAGAGCCCTCGCATGTCGTCTCCTGGTGCACACAAACACATGGACCACGTGGTTCTCCGCTGACCCTCCTATAGGCTTTCCTTCTACCACCGCGAAGACACGAGCATTCGCCGCGTCCGCTGAACAGTAGGAGATTCTGGAAACATTTGTGCATGACTTAAAATCAGGACAGTTTGTGAGTGAAGGTGGAGTGGTTCGAGAATCTATGACAAGGATTCCAAATGGATCCTTGACTAAACGTTGTAACGGTTTGAATAAGAATTTTAATAATAGACCCATCAAGCCCAAAATATTCAATTTTAAAATAATGAATAAAGCTCTCTATATACCAAAGAATAGTTTTGAAATACAAAGTCGTCATCGTCATCAGCTCTTTACAAACAGATATATTTTACGATTCATAACATTTTACGTAAAGAAGTTCAAAGAGCACCCCTTATTAACTGAACAATTCACACGGCTCCCAAAAACCCGATACCTGTAGCATCGTAATTGAGTACTTTCCTTAATCAAAAATAAATTATTTCGACTGTTCAATACACAGACTATATTTATTTACACATTTTTTTTAAGAAATAAGTTTAGTGTTAGACGCTAAAAAAACGTGACGTCACAATTCACAATCTCGTACAAAATCATAAAAAACTGTAGTTTTTGACTGTTCGTAAAAAGTATTGAATTTGACTAGTTGTTAAATACCGTATTGGGAAATCTATACTAATATTATAAAGCTGAAGAGTTTGTTTTTTTTGTTTGAACGCGCTAATGTCCGAAACTATTGGTCCGATTAGAAAAAATCTTTTTTGTTGGATAGCGCATTTATCGAGGAAAGCTATAGGCTATAAAATATCACGCTACTATGAATAGGCCCTGAGCAGAACGAGTGAAACCGCGCAGAAGTAGCTAGTATAAAATAAAAATTCAAAAAATCTTCAAAAACAAAATGAAGCACATTCTCTGTTTGACTTGTCTGTATCTGTACATATGTATATATATATGTATGAATATTTGTGCGCGATTATCTCGCGATTAGCTGAACAGATTTTGATGTGGTTTTCAGAAAAGTTTTTTTACCCTAAGGATAAGGTGCATAATAAACCGACTTTAAAAAAGAGAGAATGTTGAATCCTTTTATTAATTATTAACGTATTTCATAACGATTTATAATAAGAATTAACGTAGTTTATAATAAATAATAAGTAAATGTAACATTGTATTAACTACTAGCTTCTGCCCGCGACTTCGTACGCGTAATCCTATTTTTTCCCGTCCCCGTTCGTGATTTTCGGTAAAAAGAAAAAAAAAATTTTTGGTTAAAAAGTATCCTATGTCGGTTTCCTGGCTCTAAGCTACCTCCCTACCAATTTTCAGCCAAATGTATTCTGCCGTTCTTGAGTTATAAGTGGTGTAACTAACACGACTTTCTTTTATATATATATAGATTAATCAATCACTACGAAGAAAGCCAACTTCCTAAGGATAACGAACTCACATTACGACTTTGTTAACCGTTAACATTCAATTTTATTGCAACCATTTATTTTAACAAGCATCGATAATATTGTCAACGTCTTATTAATTAATTATTATTATTTTTGTTTAGATAATTTTGTAGGTCAGATGTAGACCATTAATCTTAGTTAACCGATTATGTTTTTCTTTCCGTACCAGGCACCAGTCGGTTGCAATCTTGTTGGCATTGAGATAGATATGATGAGTTCGTGTTATCTATTCCCAGTTTCGATGCCCTAAATAGGGGATTTCTGAATGGAGATATTGCTACACATATATGATGACACATATATTATGAGCACTAGTAGCTACCTATTTGAGCGAATTACGTCTTTATTATCTTGTTTTCAGTAGTTTTAAAATACATGTTCTGAAATAAAATATTTTACATACATACATACATAACATCACGCCTTTTATCTCCGAAGGAGTAGGCAGAGGTGCGCATTATGCAACTGTACAATGTAACACCCACTTTTCACTATTTATGTTATGAGTCCCATGTAATAGTGGGTGAGCCTATTTGCCATATACCGGGCAAAATTCCAGACTCTGTGCTAGTACCTACTGAGAATTTTTTTTAAAACCCAGTAGGTAACACTTTGCCCGACCCGGGAATCGAACCCGAGACCCCTCAAACCCAACTCAAAAGCATTTATTTCAATTAAACCATAATTTGGTACTTTTGAAACGTCAACAAATATGAAATAAATAATAATCTGTCAGTCTGTCCGTCAGTGAAGCTAGGCACTCGTTCCAAAATGTCGATTCGAGTGGAGAAGAACAAACTAGAAACTCCATTCGTTACTCTTTTAAAAAAAAGTCCTTGCGACCACTCGGCCAACGAGGCAGTCATATAAAATATTTTCTTGTGATCAAATAGTCTCAATGGATTAAAGGACTCGGACAAAGTGTTACTTCTCGGATGTTTGTGTAGATCTTGCGCCTGCGTATGCGTTACATTTAATTTATTCGTTATAGACTTGTAGGATCCTCGTTAATATTAGGTAAGTAAGTTATTGTATATTCCTATGTCCTACTTAGAAAACCGAGCCGACATAATTAAGTAGGATTGTGGTTTCGAATTCGACAAGTAACCGGAAAAGAGAAAATAATATTAAATGACTACAAATTTAATAGAAACAACGATAAATGTAGAAAACGCTCAACATTTCAGTTCTGAATAAGACATTGAGGAAAATTAATGTAAATATTATGAGAAGTTCAGCTGTAAGTGGTGAGGAAATAGATAATAATAATATTTTATGTGTTTTTACCTGTAAATGGAGACGCTTAGTACGTTTTCCTGTGACTCAGCGTCACTCACGACGATGCCCTTAGCACTGATATCCAAGTTCACTCGCTGCAGCTTCTTGTTTAACACTGAAATTGGTCAAATAAAAATTATTTACAGTGATATGTTATTTATTTATTTATTTACTAGCTTTTACCCGCGGCTCCGCTCGCGTCACAAAAAGATAAAAGCCAATGTGACATATACCAATACACACATCGCCATCTATACCAATATTTTTGTTTTCCCTCGGGAATATCAAATTTTTCCGGGATAATAAGTACCCTATTATTTAATCCGGACTTCTAACTATACATCTGCAAAAATTCAAAGCAATCGGTTTAGTAGTTATGGTGTGACAAACTCACTTTCCGATTTATAATATTAGTTAGGATTAGGATTAGGATTTTTTGGTTAACCAATAATTGTTTACACTATATACATTACTGATTAAATAGCTAAAAAAACATTTACAAGTGCAACAATTAATTATAGGTTAACACCACATGCAAAAAACAAAACGGTGAACAAAACGTACAGACAAATAACAAATGATTCCATGGGTGCATATCTACCTCAAAAAGAAAAAAAAATACATTAGGATGTCAATTAATCTGTGGCGACACATGGTACATTCTAACGGATGACGTCATAAAAATCCTACATCGCACATGCGAAGTTTACATTGGATTTAACACGGATAGAAAATCCCAACGAACAACTGTTGGGCAGAAAGCCCGCCAGGCACGATCACCTCGCCTGGTCGGAGGATCCTCCTTTTCCGATCTTAGGGAATTATACTCTCTGTTCCCTAAAAATCTATATCTATATATATATAAAAGAAAGTCGTGTTAGTTACACTATTTATAACTCAAGAACGCCTCAATCGATTTAGATGAAAATTGGCAAGGAGGTAGCTTAGAACCAGGAGACGGACATAGGATACTTTTTTTTACTTTTTACCAAAAATCACGAGCGGGAACGGGGGCAAAATGGGATTGCGCGTACAAAGTCGCGGGCAGAGGCTAGTAATTATATAAAGACGGAATTATTGGAACGTTATAAGTTGCATAGGTACCTACCTAATATAGTTTCAGTCAGCTAATATCTACAACCTACCCGCAACGTTTATTACGAAAACTACAGAACGCTGGTGATTCCGTAACAAAAGTATGACATGAAAATAAGTTAAGATTTTGGGAAAATATTATAATTATCATCATCATCATCTACAGCCATTAAATGCCCACTGCTGAGCAAAGCCTCTTCTCACACGGAGAAGTTTGAGCATTAATCACCACGCTTGCTCAATGCGGGTTGGCGATTTAAAACTTATAATTAGAAATTATAAGTCCAGGTGTCTAAATAATCTTTAGAAAGTACATATAACTCGGAAAAAGTCACATTGGTACTTGCCGTTGGTAGGTTTCTAACCGACACCCTCATGCATGAGAAAACGGGCGTCTTAAACCTCCGGGCCACAACGACATTAAAATATTATAATTTTATGATAATTATGGTCCATGGTGCTCCATTACTTAACAATGCGTAAAATAAAAGCTCACGTACCTACTATGTTTTAAAAGCGGAAGACAAAACAAAAACTAACAAATTCGACCAAAACACACTTATCAAACATTTAACGAGACCTCTGGACCCTAGCTCACATTATGTTCTTGACCGGAATATACCAAGTGGAGATATCTCATCTGAAACCGTTCTATAAATAAGACAATAAATCAATGTTATGATATAATATTGTTTTATGACCGCAGACATCTTTTGTAACCTCAGACAGATTCATTCACAATCATTGTTACGATGCAGGTATAAAAAAATGTAATCAGTTACTTTAAGGAACTTGTCGATCCAATTTTCGGTGTTCCTGTCATTATAGAAGTGTCTCAGGGAAAATCAGACGTCACAATATTGTATCACCTCACTCTATGTCAGATGTGAAGAATATAAAGTGTGGGAGAGCCATGCTTCGGCACAAATGGGCCGGCTCAACCGGAGTGATACCACGGCCTCACAGAAAACCGACGTCAAGCAACGCTTGCGTTGTGTTTCGTCGTGTGAGTGAGGTTACCGGAGGCCCAATTACCCTCCCCTTCCCCAATCTCTGAATCCCAACGGTCCTCATACTCCTAATCCCCAAAAAGCCGGTAACGCACTTGTAACACCTCTGGTGTTCCAGGTGTCCATGGGCGACGCCGATTGCTTACCATCAGGTGATCCGTATGCTCGTTTACCGGCTTATGCCATAAAAAAAACTCCGTTACGTATCTACGTAATTATTTATTAGCTACTTAGCTAATCTTTAGCTAAGTAGCTAATCTAAGTAGGTAGGTAAGTCCTACTATATTTCTAACAATGCACAAGCTTTTCTTTAGTGTTAGTAAGAGATGACTTCATACTAGTCCATACCTATGTAAGTACCTATAACTGTTATATCAATATTCATAATATTATAAATAGGACTTATTTACGATGCAATGCAATTTTCCTTTGCAGTAGCAACAAATAAATGATTCATTTTTTAATGGAACAAGCCCGCCACAACCTCCCAGAACAGCTGCAACTCCTGTATGCCAGGATTTGCAGTAGATACAAGTATACAACCATGAAAACACAGGAACACTGAACACCGGCGCGTCTCAGGTACATGAATAACTGTCTTGGATCCCGCAAGAAATTAATTTAGAAGATAATAATGGAGGAGAATAAGAAAAAAACAATATTTTTAATTTACGAATTGATTAAATGTTCATTTACGTACATTTCGCTGAAAATAAAGCTGATTTGACGGCGAGTGCAGTTGCAGGCGCTGATGCAGCTCTTTCGACGGGCGCTGCTCCTGCATACCTGACGTCCAAGTCACCAGCTCCTGAGTCCCGAGCCTCTCGCCACCAACCCTCCCCCTCACACTCAGCTAAAGCCCATTCCTCACACAACTCTGAAAAATAAAACACTGATATTAATTTTATGTTCCTGAAATGATTAATTTTTTAATTGACGTATTTTCTGGTTTCTAAAAATCTAGAACTGTAGGCACATTGTTTACATTGGTCATCTAGTACAATATATATGTAAAAAACAAAGCACTAGGTATTTTCCATATTCCATGAATCATTATGATATGATTGTGGTTTAACTTGAAACGCCATGTAAGTTGCACAACTTCTAGTTATCAACTTCTATTAACAAAGACAGGAACAAAGTTCATAGTTTAGATTTAGCTGTGTAAAAAGAGTGCCTATACTTAGTAGGCCCCAGAATACAGCCTTGAGGAACACCCCCAAATTATAGTACAAATCGTAGCAGTTTTCACAATCTGACCAGTAGCTGACACCCCTTAAGTTACTTAAAGACGTTGGAGAACCATAATAAAATATATTTTGACATAAGAACTATTCATTTGATTAAAGTTAACACAAAATAAAAATACAACTCTGTCAAATGCCTCTGTATAAACTCGAAAAATAACATCAACATTTTATTTTTACGCACCATAAACATAGGTACGATATATATTATGATGAAAAATAATCATCTCACACTGGAAACAAAACATGACCTACGAGATTAAATAATAATTACACACGCTTTACTAAACAAAATATTTATTAAGTTAAAGTAAGCGTGAACAGTTGACTGATAAAAAGCTCTATTTTTATGTTGTTTACACTTACAGTTACAATTATTACTTCAGTTTGATAGACACTCTCATAATACGGTCGTAGTCACCTGACAGGCAACAATAATTGTAACTGAATGACTGAATGTAGTAATCGCGGCACATCAAGCTACGCCAGTTATTATATTTTCGATTTTATCATAGAGTGATATAAAATTGAAAATCTAAAAGACTGATTGGAATTGCTGGAATGGTGGCAGTAGAAATAGAGGTACTTAACCGTTTTTTTTTATATCTACTACAGTAGAAGCTCGACTGGATTCATAAATACTACCAAGGAATAATAATACATTATTACTGAGAGTTATAACTCTATAAATCTGTAATTAATAGGTAACTCTTCCATCCCTTAATCTGTCGGCTATTACACAGACAAGTCATGAAACTTGAATATAAATAGCTAATGGATGTTACCATAAAGCATCGCTAGCGCGACATTGATTTAATACAATTTATAACGGCATAACTATAAAACCCTACTGAGAAAATTACAAAAATGAACTTGGAAATAGATTTACGACAAAGTTTCAAAATAGGTACTTACGACGCAATAAAATTTGGCTTTAAAAAAAACTCATTTTAAGGTTCTGTGCCTAAAAGATGAAGCCATATTTTTTCAAATGCTTTGTTGTCCGTCTATTTGTGTGTACGGAGGAAAAAAATAGGTTCTCTAAGCACAATTTTTCTGTAGGTGTCTTAAAAAAAAAACACTTATACATTGGCTGCATGGTTGGTCGGCTGGGCAACTGGCTGCCGCGCAACGTGTCGCGGGTTCGATTCCCGCACGGAACAACTCTTTGTGTGATCCACAAATTGTTGTTCCAGGTCTGGGTGTTATTTGTATGGGAAATTGTATGTTTGTAAACGCAACCACGACACAGGAGAAAATCATAGTGTGGGGCAACGTTAAAAAAAACGCACAGACAAACTTAAGCTATCTCTGATCAAAGGCAGGCCGGTCGCCGGATGGTATTAAGATACGTAGTTAGGTAAACAGGCCCTACTATCGCGTATTTACTTCCTACTTGATAGTATCTATCATTATTAATTAATAACAACTTACATAAGCTTTTTTTTTTTATTTTAATGGGGGAAAATCATCGAATGACTGCCCCCGCCTGGGTGAGGCGGGAGGGAGTGTCAGACTCTTACTGACTAAAAACCACCCCGTTCCTTCTCCTGCACGTCGAGCCGGAGCCCCGGTTACCCGTTAGGTTCTCCGCGACTCCGAATCGGCATCGGCCCTATTGGGCCCCATCTGTGGTGGTCTGATGGCTCTTTGAGGCACGCGCGGAACGCGACGCGCCGTACGCTCGGGTCTGTTTCTGGTCGGACGGGGAGCCACCCATGCTCGCCGTCCGCAGGCCCGCGCTTACGGTGGCCGGAGATCGTAACTTACATAAGCTTACGCAATAACAACAAACAATAACGTGTCGTAAACAACTGCCAAATTCAACGTCAAGTAGCATTTATAAGTCTCTAATCCTAACTGCGTCACAAGGGCGCGAAAACGCACAAAATGGCGGCAATCAGACAGCTATTTTAGAGATATCACAATACATCTAGGCCAGACGGGTGGTATCGATAGTGAAGTAGGCCATAGGTCAGTTATTAGGCGTAATAAGTTGAACGAAACACCGCCACTGATGCGTACGAGTGCCTGATAAACTTATGATGCGTTTCTGCAAACTAGTTCGAGCTGGTTTCCTGGTAGATGTAAAGGAAATTAATAATAATTTATATGTGATCGTATTGCGTTAGAACTTTATAATGCAATTGTTTGATATGAGTCTGGGCTGAACAATACTATCTCGCATCTTTGTCCAAGCAATTGAGGGTAGGTAGAAACTACGCTTCATCGTTATGTTTTTGTGTAACTTTTACCTTAAATATCGTAGTTAGTGTATTATGAAGTACATATGAAATAGTGATTTATAATGAAATATTTTATTTTACACGCAATGCGCGATCAATTAAAAACGGACGCATCAATTGAACAACAAAACTTCAAACTACTTAGTTAAGTATAGGGGGATTCATATCGATAAAAGCGCTATAAAATTAATTAAACGCTTCAACAAGACTTCTCCCAACAAGCTTTCACGTTTAGTTTTTGCGCAGAAGTTACGCTTTGGCTAGATAAGTGCAACGTTTTAACAAGAATGCTAGCCGCACCGTTTAGCTGGCTCGTTCTCCATTTGATCACAGCCTTTCCATTCAATTAATAATTTATCACTTAGCGAGAAATATCACGATGCTACTTTTTAATACTTGAATTACAGGTGAAAAAATATCGATCAGTGATATGAGAATATTGGTCAGCGAAACTAGGGGTCCTAATACAAATTTTTTTTTTAGTTCTCGCTTACTATTTAAGTACCTACTGTGTAATAGGGTAGATGCCTAATTTTTATTTTAATGTCCGTCCGGTAGATTATTTTAAATCATTACACACATATTTGTATTTTCTTACAGAAACGAATACTTTCGAGGATATGTTGATTTGAAATGTCGCGTGACGTCACTTCTATGTATGTACATTTTATACGTAGAATTGACGTAGACCCAACTTCTAAACTTTAATTAATTTTATCTAAGTATTATTTTAATAAAAAAATACGTGTCTAATGTTTTTTTCATTACCTAACTTACGGACTAAATAGATTTCTAATTTTCATACCCTGACATCATCCCAATTGGTGTACAAAACTACCTAAGTCATATACCTAATTTGTTTTTCTTTAAGTACCTAGATACAACTAAGGAAATGACAATATTTTTTTAAGGCGGCGCCTGTATTCCTTCTACAACCATCCATGTTTACAATAAAGTCCAACATTCGCAAAATAAAGTAGCCGTTTACAAGTTACTGTGTCTCTTCATGGCTCAAACGCCTTCCACAATTCAATGAATGATTAAAGTTCTTTACCTATTTTGTACCTTTTTACCAGTGTAACTGAGTGTGCAATATTATATTGTTCTACAAAGAACTAGGGAAGGAAGTAAGATTTATACTTCTGATATTATGACCTATCGACAGAGGAGACCCGTCTGTCAGTCTGACGATAACATTCTCTTTATGAACATTTCGCCGCGATGCAATACAAGTAATTAAAGTGATAATTATTGAACAGATCACTTGAGCTTCGCCGCTTTTTAACCTAATTGTGACACTGATGATAGATAGACATATCTGAGTACATTAGGTATGTCATGTACTCAATGTAAGTTTATGTGTAATGCTGTAAGGAAGAATGTGCTATAATATATTATTCGCTAGGTATTAAGTTTAATAGCCACAATAATTGATACTAAAAGACCATGTTTTTATAATAATAATCGTAAAACATACAAAATTAACTTAAAATTAATTGCGCGACATCGCCGCAACCGCGCACGCTGCTCATGAGGAAGAACTCCTCTGTGGTTCGAAACTAGTAGAGCTTTTCTCAGTATATTCACGTGAGTAACCAGCGATTTTTAGTTAATAGAAGACCTTTTTTACCTGGGTGTTACGTAGATTAATAAAATTAATACCCAGTACCGAATCGTAGTAAGTACCAGTAGAAATGCAAAACACCTATATCGTCAGTTTTTTAAATGAGCATATAAACACTTATCCTGACTGAGCGTACAAGCAGAGTATTTTATCGCAAGTTTCCTTATCAAATAATTATACTTTCTAGTATGATCCCGTTACCCTAGCTCTTGAAAAAAGCAAAACAACTTGACGTTATAGGCAAGACGCGCAATCACCTCTCATTTCACCGCATACATTGCCGCGTTTGTCCAGATATCATCCCGTAGACACCTAACACAATGTGCTATGTAGTATAAATCTGGTATTACGGACAACTTTTTTCGCTGTCACCCATTTAAGGCTTAGCGAGAGCTCCTAATTCCGGAGTAATTAGAGAAACTTGCCCCGGAGATGGTCTGTGGCCTTTTGCGACGCGAGTGAGGTTCGTACTCGGAACATTTAATGAAGACGTAAAAAGGTGAACGCAGAATAATTGAGTGTTCCATTAAATGTGAACGCAACCTGTCTAGTGTCTATGGTCTGTTGTAATTTGAAAATGGGCGCGCAAACAGGTCCTGTTCTAACTGCACATTACTTACGCTGTGATTAATGAAAAAAGGAAATTATGGCTCGGTTTTCCATTTTCGTGTTTGATGTTATTAAAGATAATTTTATTTTAATTTAATATCGTTGGTGTGAGTAACGATTGCATCTACATATTAAATGTATTTGATATAAGATTTCTAGGGTAAGAGAATCTTTTATTTTTGGGCTTCTGGACCTATCTAGTGATATCACTACATAGTATAAAACAATATAAAACAA